AAAATTTTTTGTAAATTTCATATTAAAATATTTAAAATTTCCAGCTTCAGCCATTTCCAGCTTCAGCCACGACATTTTATATCATATAATATATTTCACAATTTTTTTGGTAGACTTATCCTGTTGCATAGGCATAAAACAATTTAAAATAATGTAATATCACATCAAATAGTAAAAAATGTAAAATTATAATACGTATATGTTCACCATATCAGTTATATATACTTTTTCTTGACGGAAAGTAGAAATATGAAACTTGAGTTTTATCGAGAGATTTTTCATTCAAATATCTAAATAAAAAACCAGAAACAATATTGATAATTCCATTATAATTCCATTCGGGTAAATGTTTTTCAAAAAGTTGATAAGCAAAGACAAGTTTTTCGTCAATGGTTTTTAATTCTGAGTAAAATATTTTGCCTCTCTTTTCTATTTACAACATAACGAGTTTATTCCATTTGACTTCATCTTGATAAAAAGAATTTTCATGAAAGATTTCTTTACATGAATTGTGCTTTTATTAAAAATTACGAAAGGTATAGATTAATTAAATATTCAAAATATTAACAATGTTAACCAATTATATATATTAAAGTAATATAATTACCAAATACTTAGCTTCAGATTAAGAATATCATTTGTTATTGGCTGGTTAAGGTTTTTAGAATTATAGACAAATGAACATGCAGAATCACTAATCAGTGAATTAAAATCGCTAGAATGCTGATTTATAACTTCCTTGGATAATATTTCATCTAAAATACCGTATTTGCACGTAATAGCGGGCTGGGGGGTGTTAATTCGAATTTTGACTTTATAAAAAATTTATTTAACATATCATATTTTATTACTACAGTATTATTACTTTATTATTATTATTCAGATATGATCTTATTACTAGGCAAATTAACCCATTATAAGATTATTTGACGAAATAGTATGTTTGTCATGTGCGAATGTTTTAAATGGCTCGTGAGCTGCCTATTTCCTTTTTAATGTATGATACTTGTACCCAGCCAGGTTATATCGATCATTGTCGATCAGAAACTTTCAAAACAAACTTATTTCTCAAGAATCAGTAAAAGAAACCATAAACTAGATAATATTAAAAATCGGAGAAATTCTATCGGTTTACTGAATATAAACTAATCTTAAAATTCTAATGTATTATAACTATTTAAAAATGCAACTAGAAAAAACATACAAGAATCTGTTTGCTATCAATAAGCCGTGCTTCTCTAAGCAATATTACTAGAATAAACTACTTTTAACATATCCGTACCTGCGTCAGTAAGAAACTACTTCTAACTTAACTAAAACTGCGTTAGCAACTTCTAACATATCAAACATAACTGTAATAGCAAGAAACTACTTTTAACTTATTTAACAATGCGTTAACAAGAAACTACTTCTAATATATCTAAAACTGTTTTAGCAAAAAATTATTCAAACCAGCATTAGCAAAAAACTACTTCTAGCATATATACTACTGGGTCAGCAATAAACTACTTCTATCGTATCTATAACTGTGATAGCAAGAAACTACTTCTAACATATCTATAACTGTGATTACTTCTAACATATCTATAACTGTGATAGCAAGAAACTACTTCTAACATATCTATAACTGTGATAGCAAGAAACTACTTCTAATATCTAACTGTGTTAACAAAAAACTATCTAAAACTGCGTCAGCAAAAAACATCCAAACCGGTGTTAGCAAGCAGCTACCAACATATTTATAACTATGTTAACAAGAAACTATTTCTAACATATCTAAAACTGTGGCAGCAAGAAACTACTTCTAACTATCGATGGGATTACTGATGTTAAAAATTCAATTTTCGCACGCTGTGATCTATTAAAAAAATTTCCGATTCTTTATAAATTATTGAATGTGACAATTAAGTATCACCATTTGTTAACATTGATAATCCCATCACTACTTTTAACATATCTAAAACTGCGTTAACAAAATACTACTTCTATATCCATATTTACAGTAAAACCACATCAACAAGTAACTACTTCTAATATATCCCAAACTGCGTCACAATTTCAGATTTTTAAATTATAAAGTAAATATCTTTATCTTATTTTTAAATTATTAATAATATAACAATTAAAAATTAAATTTATAATAAATGTTTGTAACTCCCATGTGCATTGCAAATACCAGATATCTAATATAAAATAAATTTAAAACCAAATAATATTACAATATATTTATAATATAATTCCCTCATAGGAAGATATTTGTATTATTGGCTGTTTAAATTTACATTATTTATACAGTTTAAAGTACTTTTTAAAAAAAAATCAAACTACGAAGAATAAACAAAAAAGAAGTATATAGAAAGTTTT